CTTTATGATCTATGTTCTCGAGATAGATCACACATTAAAAGGGGTTTGAATAGCAAAGAATATGATTTAAAAAAATGGAAAAGCAACCTACTGAATGGGTGAAAATATTCTCTAATTATACACTTAGGGCTGTATGACTTCTTTTTAATTTTTGGGTGTCAACATCCAAAAATTAAAAAGAAGTCATACAGCCCTAACTGGTTTGGCTCAGTGGATGGAGCGTTGGCCTCCTGACTAAAAGGTCCCAGGTTCGATTCCAGTCAAGGGCATTTACCTTTGTTGTGGGCACATCCCCAGTAGGAGGTGCGCAGAAGGCAGCTGATCAATGTTTCTCTCTCTTCGATGTTTCTACCTCCCTATCCCTCTCCCTTCTTCTCTGTAAAAAAATCAATAAAATATATTATAAAAAAAGGAAGTCATACAACTCAACAACAAAACCAAAACAAACAAAATATCTAAAAAAACAAAAAGAGGACCTGAATAGACTCTTAGGGCTTACAGGTGGCCAATAAAAATATGATAAGATGTTCAATGTCACTAGTTATCAGAGAAATGTGCAAAACTTTAATGAGATATCATCTCATATGTGTCAGAATGGCCATCATCAATAAACCCACAAATAGTATGTCGTGACGAGGATGTGGAGAAAGGGGAACTCACATGCACTGTTAGCCCAGTGCAGGCCAATGCAGTCACTCAGGAAAACAGGATGGAGGGTCCTCAAAAAAAATTTAAAATGGATTGCATTATGGTCCAGTGATTAGAAATTCTTATCAGATATGCAAAGAATTCCAAAACAGTAATCAGAAAGAGTATATGCTTGTCTGTGTTCATTACAGTGTTATTCAAGATATGGAAGCAAACCAAGTGCCCATCAGTAGTCAAGTAAATAAAAAATGGTGATACACACACACACACACACACACACACACACACACACACACAGAAATATGAGACCATACAAAAGAATGAAATATTGCCATTTGTGACAGCATGGATGGACCTAAGATGGATGGGCTAATACTAAGAGAAACAAATAATTGAGGTAAAGACAAGTATCATAGAATTTCACTAACATGTGAAATCTAAAGTACACTATAGGGCGGTAAGTTGGGGGTAAATGGAGGAATGAGGACACATATGTAATACTTTAATCAATAAAGAAATAACAAAAAGAAATATTGACTAAAAATAAATAAAGTGTACTATGTAGAGACAAAAAAAGACAGAAACAACTTCACAGATACAGAGAACAGACTAGTGGTTGTCAGAGGGAGGGAAGTTGGGGGAGTGGCTTAAAAACGTGAAGGGTTGAGAGAGAAGAAAGATGGCAGCTGGAAGATCAGCAGTGAGGAAGAGAGTGTGAGTGAGTAAGGGAGCAAAAGAGGAGTGAAGGACAGTTAGATTCCACAGGACTTTTGGGGGCTGGTGGACTGGGTTCCCCTAGCTGGGCAACCCCTGCTACAGCTGCAATCTATCCCAGGGAGGCTGTGCCACAGAGGCATGCCATCATGAAGCAGAGAGCTGCTGTGTCTGGGAGCCCAGCCTCACCTCCACCCAGGGTGCCCTCAGATACCATAGGGAACCCGATAGCCACTCCAGCCATGGACCTGCTGCCTCAGCTGCAGACCCATGAACACGGGGACTCCAGCCTCCCAGGGCACAGGATCCTGTGAGTTCCAGAGGGCGCTTCCCTCCCATTGGCCAGAAACTTTAGCCCTGGGCGCCTCGACTGCAGGCAAACAGCCAAGCCTTACACAGCAACTCCAGTTGCCCTGTCTGCACACAAACAACCAAGACTTATGGAAAAACTCTGGGAACGAAGCTCTACACAACCACCTCAGGCACCATGACCTTGCTAGCAACCACCAAGCCCAAGGAGCAACCCCAGGTGCCACAACTGAGCATGAGCAGCCAAGCCCTGTGCAGCTACACTGAGTGCCTCATGCAGTAACCCCAGGTATCATGACCATGCGAATTGCTACCAAGACTCATACATTGACCTGGGCTTGGTGACTGTGTGCCCACCACCATGCCTGCTGCTGTAGTCACAGGCCCAGAGTGACTTATGCCTAGATCCTTAGGTGAGAGCAAAAACGGGGAGACAAAAATAAATAAATAAATAAAAATAACCTCCAAAGGAAAGAAGAGGAGGAATCGCCAGAAAAGGAATTAAATGAAATAGAGGCTTGCAATTTGTCACAAGAAGAATTCAGAGTAAGGGTCATAAACCACATGGATGAGAAAACCAGCAACTTATCTAAGAATTGAGAGGAAATAAAGAGTGATACAGCTACAATAAAAACACTATGTAAGATTTCAAAGCAGACTATAAAAAGCGGAGGACGGAATTCTTGAATTAGAAGACAGGGCATCCAATCTGAACTGCAAGTGGAGAAAAAAATTAAAAGGCAGGAGGACAGCCTAAGGGAGCTATGGGACAACATGAAACGAAGCAATATATGTATAACTTGGGTGCCAGAACAACAAGAAGAGCAAGGGTTAGAAAACCTACTTGAAAAAATAATGTCCTAAAATGTGCCTCATTTGGGTGAAGAAGAAAGTCAAACAAGCACAGAGAGTCACAATCAAGATGAGCCCCAAAATACCCACAGCAAGGCACATTGTAATTATGATGGCAAATGTTAATCACAAAGAGAGACTCTTAAAGGCTGCGAGAGAGAGACAGAAAATTATTTACAAAGGATCTCCCGTTATATTACCCCATGATTTCTCAACAGAACAACATCAGAATAGAAAGGAAAGGAAGAACTATACAAAGTGATTCAGGGCAGGGGACTGGGTCCAAGAATACTCTATCCAACAAGGCTATTGTTCAAAATTGAAGGGGAAATCAGGAGCTTCACCGACAAAAATAAATAAATAAATAAACAAACAAACAAATAAATAAATGTAAAAATAAAAAATAAATCCCAAGGGAATTTATCATTATAAAGCAAGCAATGCAAGAAAGAAAAAAAAAAAAAGACTGTTGTAAAAAGAAAAATAAAAAGGGAAGAAGGGACACAGGCACAAAAAATAAAAATGGCTACAAACAAGTACCTATTAATAATAACCTTGAATATAAATGGACTGAATGCTCCAATCAAAAGGCACTGAGTGGCTTAGTGCATAAGAAAATATGACCCATATATATGCTGTCTGCAGGGGACCCACCTCAAAACAAGGTACACACGTAGACTGATAGTGAAGGGATGAAAAAATATCTTTCAGGCAAATGGAAAAGAAAAAAAAAAAAGCTGGGGTAGCAATACTTATATTGGACAAAATAGATATTACAGTGAAGGCCATGACAAGACATAAGGAAGGCCACTTCATAATACTAAAGGGATCAATACAACAAGAAGATATAATATAGTAAACACATACAAACCCAATAAAGGGGCACCCAAATACAAAACAAAACAAAAAAACAGAAAAAAAATTATGGAAGATATCAAGGGAGATATTGACAACAATACAATTAAAGTAGGGGACTTTAATACCCCACTGATATCACGGGTTAAAACTTTTTTTTGTAGTTAAAACTATACAGTTTCTTCTGGCTTAAGAAGGATTGTGCTTTCAAGAACATAACATACAAATCCAGAAAATAAAGAGAAAACGCACAGTGATAGAACATGCACAGCTGTAAATGATACAATCTTAAAAATTTCAGCCAATTTCCAGGAAATTCTTAGATTGCCTTTTAAAATTAAACTATCAATAGATACTTGGTGCACAATTTTTTTTAAAAAAATAATTCTTTGGGAGGTGTCCTTAGGCCTGGCCAGCGATCAGGGCCAATCAGGTTCTCTGCTACATCTCCTCCTCCTTCCCCATCTGCCTCCATGCTGCAAATGTGTGGTTCTCTCTTTCCTTCCCTTGCCACCTGTGTCTGCCAACACTCACCACCAGTTCCCTGTCCAAGCCCAGGGTCTGTCTCTGATTGGTTGACCTGGACCTGTCAGCCTGCGGTAGGGACCAGGAAGTTGGCTGGTAGGCCTCACTGGCGACTGTGGCCTGCGGGCTGGGGGAAACTCCTGTGTTGAGCGTCAACTCCTTGGTGGTCAGTTCTCATCATAGTGACCAGTTGTTCCAGTCATTCCATTGTAAAGGTCATTTAGGGTTTTATATGTATAGATGTATTTTACTGACTTCAAAGTGGAGAGGAGAGACATAGAAACAATAATGAGGGAGAATAACTGATCCGCTACTTCCTGAATGCTCCACACTGAGGATGGAGTCTGCCAACTAGGCATATACCCTGACCTGAAATTTAACCATAACCTCCTGGTTCATAGGTTAATGCTCAGCCACTGAACACACTGGAGGGCTGCGTAGTTTTTTCATACTTACTTTCCAACAGCTATGGTATGCATAATACATGACAGAGAGACCTCATTTTCTTACCTTCCCCTTCACCTTGAACCTCAGGCTCAGGTGCTCCTGCATCTGCTTGCTCTTCCTCAGGTCTAACATCCTGATTCTCAGTGGGTGGCTCCTCTTGTTTAGCTTTATCATCACTGGGCGGCTGGTCCTAGGGGAGTGTGTGTGCATAAATAAAAGGTTTTGTTGTTAGTACATATCAATCATAAAAATATACATAATATACACACAGGTATAATCACGAATAAGAATAAAGGCATTTTAGACACGATATATTTATTCTTAATATTGTTTCTCTTCCCTCTACCTGGTTCCTTCCAGAGGAGCTGCCCACAAGGACTTCTAAAGCTGAAGCTCTTTTAAACTCTCCTGGGATGGATGTGGGCAGTCTGTGTTAATAAGCATGAGAAAGGAGCCATAGTGGGTATTTCCACTGGCAATGCCAGAGAGCAAACCTCCTGGATCAAGGTTTCCTTCCTCAGGAACCCTCCTGGGCCAATGTTACTCCCTTATCAGCTCGGAAACTTTTAACACTGTACCTAGAGGCATTCAAGAAAACATACAGGAAAATATGTATCTATAATAGACAGTTCAAATATCAAAGCACTCACAACCACGGGTCCAACTTGCTGTTCAGACTCTTCATCTTCTACTAATATGGAACTCCAGTCATCTTTTGATGTTACAATCCGACTCATATTTCCCACTGAAATTAGAACAATTTGATTAGGGAAATATACGTAAGAGGATAATTAGACCACCTCCATGGCTAAAATGTTTTTTCATTTTTTTTTAAATTCCCTTTTTACTATTTGGTGTTCCCAAATCATAATTAAAATTTTTTTTAATTGAAATCATCAGTGGCCTGATGCATGAAATTTGTTCACACTAAAAAGGAATTAATTAGAGGAAATATTTTAATATTGCTATTTGCCCTTTTGTATAATAGAAATATCAGAGATAAAATAAAATCAGTAAAATGTATATGAAAGTCTCCCTCCTGTCACAGTCTAGGGCGCACAGAGGGATCCAAAGTCAAGTCCCTACTAACCTATTATACATGGCCCTCAAAATTGATTGAGACCCAGACCCTCCCTGCTCCCACCCCCATTGGGCTAGATCCAGACCTGGACAGTCCTATCCTTGTGGACATACCCTAAGGTACCCTGGCCCGGTGCCAGGACGGGGGAGGGGCAGGGCCAGAGGTTCACCAGCACAGACCAGGGTGGAGGATGTGCCTTGTGGTCCCCGACAAGCCCTGCCCAGTGGGAGACACAGACTGAGATTACCTGTCAAGAATTGCTGGGTGGGAAGCATGGCCTGAGGTCCCTGGTCAAGCCCCACCAGATGGAGTGGAGCAGCTTCAGGTCTCCCGGAGGGGAGGGAAGCCTCAGGTCCCCGGCAAGGCCCGCTGGGTTGGTGGCATGGCCTCATGTCTACTGTCAAGCCCCATGTGGTGGGGGGCCAGACATGAGGTCCTGTGCCCTGGTGCTGGGGCGAAGGTGCAGCCTGAGGTACTGTAGCACAGCACCGGGACAGGAAGCACACCTTGAGGCCCCCTGTCAAGCCCTGACAAGTGGGGGTGGGCCTGAGGTCCCCAGTCAAGCCCTGCCCTGTGGGGGACAGGGCATGAAGTCCCCTGTCAAGCCCCACTGGGCCGGGGCAGAGCTTAGCCTCAGGTCCCTGCTGATTGCTCATTAAGGCTTCTTATGGGAACTTGGCCTCAGCTGTGGATGCTGCTATGTCTGTGATGGAGTGATGGTCAATTAGCATATTCCCTCTTTATTAGATAGGATTAGATAGATAGGAATTGGGGTGACATTTGTTAATAAAATAAAAATTATACATGTTTCATGTATACAATTCTCTAATACATCATTTGCATGTTGTATTATTCTTATCACCAAAATTCCAGTCTCCTGTCACCATTTCTCACTCCTTTACCCTCTTCTAACTTTCCCACCCCCTTTTCTATCTTGTAATAACCATACAGCTGTCTGTGTCCTTGAGGTTGTTTTTTGTTTGTTTAAGCCCTTCACCTTTTTCACCCAGCCCAACACCCTCCCCTCTAACAGCTGTGCCTATGTGTCTGTTTCTTTTTGTTTGTTTGTTCACTTTGTTCATTAGGTTCCACAAGTAAATGAAACCATGTCCCTCAAAGAATTAACATAATTAAAATGTGCATCCTACACAAAGCAATCAACAGATTCAACCCAATTCCTAACAGAACACCAATGTTGCATTTCTAAAACCAATATGTCAAAGAATTGTATGGAACCACAACAGACTCCGAATAGTCTCAGCAATTTTAAGAAGAAAGTTGGAGCAATCATCCTGTCTGATATCATACTGCAAAGCCATAGCAATCAAAACAGCATGATCTTGCATAAAAACAGATACATAAAGGCTGTCCCCACAAACGTATAGCCACACTTTGAATAATTATAAAGGCAGTGCTTATTAAACTACATTTCATTTACATTTAACAGAAATTCGCTGTCAAAGTGTGTATACAGTATTGGGGATACCTTATAGATGAATGGAAAAAAAATGAAAGGGCCAAAAACTATTAGTCTTTAAATTTAGTTTAGTTTAAGTTTGAAAACATGTTAAAAAGAAGACCCAGGGTCAGTAAGTGAAAGTGCACAGGCTTCCCGGTGATACCAAATACAGGGGCTTGCCAAGCCACCTAGGTCATGCCATGCTGCCTGCCATCACCTCAAGCAGGTGAGAAAAGACCACGTTTGCTGTCACAATGGCTTCCCCTTGACGAAGACATTCAGGAAAATACTGCTTAAACCACACTGAGTGAGCACTGCTTTGCCCGCTCCGGGGATCAGCCCATTTCCCTCGTCAATCCAGCTGGAGCGCACAGGAGGGCTCCGGGCCGCCATGCCACCTGTGCTGCTTGGCACTGTCAGGAGGCACAGGGACCAGGTGCCATCCAGAGGCTGTGCCCCGTGTCTCCCTCGAGAGTCTGCTGGGGGCGCTGCACACCTTGGGAGGGGGCGCAGCTCCAGGTCTCAGCGAGGAGGTCCTTCAGCATGGCCGTGTCTAGGCCCTTCCTTCGCCGCCCCCCCCCCGTTCCTTCCCAGAGCCCCAAGGAGGACCAGGGATTGTGTTCTGTGGGCCGTTCCAGGTCCCTCCATGGCTCAGACACCCGAAATACTGTCCCCCAAACCCTTTACCTGCCCCCTGCCCTGGTGGGCGAACCCCCCTCCTAGTCCGGGTCACGCCAGGACTTCCAGGGCCATGGCGGCCATGATGCCTGAGAGGACAGAGGCGCTGCCCTCGAGGCCCTTCCTCCTAGGAGGCCACAGACCCCGCAGCTCCGCCCCTACCCAAACCCGCTGGCTGCCTCCTCACACTCTGCCATATTAATTAAAGTCTCGGAGGGCTGCTCTGTGGACCTACCAAGCGAATGTAAACCAGCGAGAAGGAATCAAAATGGAAGGAACACGACCGCCTGTTGCGCACTTCTCCTCAGCAAACTCGGACAGCAAAGCGCATGCGCAGCAACCGTCTTGCGTGAAAGGCGCATGTGCGGAAGTGGCCTTGTATGGAAATGAACAGTCTGAACTGTGCAGCTCTGTGCATGCGTAGCAGTGGGCGTGGTCTGAAATGCACATGCGCAGGTATGAGCATACAGGCCCATTTGGCCCCTCATGCAGGAGTTGAGGTTTTCCTGCCAAGGCCACAGAGCATTGTAATCTCTAGGTCAGCCCTGGTCAAATAAACGGCTCGAATCATTTCCCTACTGGGAATCATACTTACTCTTTCATTAACATTGTGGATAGACAGGGGACGTTTAACCTCATGGAGAATATGTTTCATAAACAGGGCCCTGACAGAAACGTATTTTAATACTATGTTTACACGTATACTTTGACCAATCACTGCCTTCTGATTCTGGGATATGTGTCATGCATTCAAGGAATTCGCTCACTTCCATAAATTAAATACATTCACCCATTTTCTTAACTTCTCTGCTTGTGTTATTGGGCATGTATCTCCAGATGGTTACTGTTTCTCTGAACATACCTGTGGTCATTAGGTCAGTGTATGGTTTACCAATATCCTTAGGTAACCGTGCTAGCATTTAGGCACAGTCCTCTGTCACCTCCTTTGCAACAGTACTGCAACCCGCACTCTACTTCCCAATCATCAGACCAACAACTTTCTAAACAAATGTCACTTACAGCTTATCACTACCGTTATCATGTACAACATCCGTTTTCCTGTATACACTTTTAGAAGTTTTTACATTGAGAAACAAGGATATCTAACTTAGAAGTTGAATCCCCAAGTCTGCTTTGAGTGGGATTTAATAAATGTGTACACTCTGTTCCAACTTAATTGTGAGGATTGAATTAGGTGATACATGTATGGAACCCAGCTCAGAGAGGTGGTAATAAGTAGCATATGCTCTATAAATGTGACTTCTTATTCCTATTATGATCTCAATAAATGGAGCAGTTGTTATAAGCACCGAAATAGCTGAGCATGTGGTCAGATCATTCATTACCATGTAGGAGACTGAAATTATCTAGGCAAGTTAATACAGCCATGACTTGTACCTTACGGGGTGTAGAAAAATAAACAAGGCATGAGGCCCACCAGTTGTGAGTTTGATAGGCTTGGCAAGTTTTATATCAGCATACAACCAGGAGTAAGGAGCTTTCAAGTGACAGCATCATTAGAGGTGTCTACTAGGGAAGATGAGCATCTCACAATAGCTGGAGTTATGGGCACTTTGAAGCATCCCCTTCTGCTCCTCTGTTGTAAGTAGGCTCTGATACTGAAAAATGAGATGCCACTCAGGTAGAGCTGATCATGGCAAAGCCTATTGCTCCACTGTTCCCAGCCTTGAGGAGACTTGCATTCCAGAGAACAGAAGATTTTTTACATTTCAGTTCATTTTAAGAAGCTAGTGTCCTTTGTACCAAAGTCCAAGAGAGTACATGAAATAAAATGGCCTAATGTTGTTCATGAAGTCCTTCGTAAACATCCTAAACAAAGTATTAAGATGTAGTTTATTCAGAAGAATAATATATTATGACCAGACCTCCTCCCTCCAAGAAATACAAGATTTTAAAAACTTAGAATGTTATCTATATAACTCACCATATTAACAGATTAATGGAAGGAAAAATCCTATGACCAGTTCAACAAATACACAAGTGTCTGATGAAAGTCCACAAATACTCAAGATTAAAATTCTTACCAGATTAGGATTGGAATGGAAATTCCTTTACTTCACAGTGAACATGGTAAAATGTTTTAAAATTTTTCTATTTCCTATCAAGAATAAGACAGCTTTGACAAACTAATCCCAATTCTATCCGCATTGTACTGGGTGGGTCAGTTGTAAAAAAATGAAACAGGCATATTAAAAAAAATCCCCATTAGAGGATATTCCTTACATTGTTTTTCTCAGAAAGCATGGAAGGGTGGGAAACGGGGTTGGGGGTAGGGAGAGAATAAGTGACATAGACACACACACACACACACACACACACACACACACACACACACAGCTTGATTGCTAGCCTCATGGGACCCAACTGGGGAAGGGGATAGAGCCTACAATCTGGTAAGTACCCTGGATGAGTAATCCATTCCAAGACCCAAAAATCCACGTACCGACACTCGGTTCACTGAACTAAACCAGGCAAAGTAGTATAATTTTTTCTTTAAATCCTGAACTGAGTTTATTTTTCAGTTCATTTTTAGAGAGTGGAAGAGAGAGGGAAAGACAGAGAAATATCCATGTGAGAGAAACACATTGATTGGTTGCCTGCTGCATGAGCCCTGACCAGAGCCCAGCTGGGGAGGAGACTGCTATCGAGTTATGAGCCCTTGATGGAAATCAAAACGGGGACCCTTTGTTCCACAGGCCATTGCTCTATGCAATGGCTAGGGCCTAGGTAACATACATTTTGAAATAGTAAAAACAAAACAAAACAAAACACCAAATCTGTCAGCATTAAAAAACAATTGGATTGCACCTTATGAAACATAGAAGCTATCTAGATATAACCTTTTAGAAATAATGAGCATACATATCAAGGTTGCTAGAAAGAATACCAATGTACAAATACACTGAGTGGCCAAATTATTATGATCTCTGAACACATTATAATCTGGCCACTGAGTGTATACCCTATACAATTATATGTTAATATGGGGGAGACATCCAAGGTGGTGGTGTAGGTAAATATCTAAACTGCTGAGGTGCACAACAATTTCAAAACTACCACTAAAAGTCAAAAGGTCTATCACCCAGAACCACGTGAAAACTAACTGAGTGGAAGTTCTATAAATAGAAGGAAAGAAAAGAATGTTCAGGGCACAAGCGCTGAAAAGCTGGCGTAAAGGAGTCTTGCGCCATCATGGCTGGTGGTGGATCCTGGCTGGTGGCAGGCATTGCTTTCTTCAACCCAAAAGGAGACAAGCTCCGGTTTTCTCTGAAATTCAGTTCCTGGGGAGACTTGAGGGATCCAAACTCCTAGGGGAGAAGCTGGACTGTCTGTCATTGGGTCAAACAGTGAGGGTGGCTTGCTTGCAGAGCTGTGCACAGGAATAATTGCTTACTGCACTGGGGTGCAGGCCATGGGGTCATGGTAGGAATCGTGGGGGCAGTGGACTGGCAGCCATCGCTGTTTTCCAAGCCCTAGCCTGGAGATGTCCTGAGAACCCACCCTGCATAACCTACAAGCCCAACCAAGCTCCAAGCATCGGCTTTTGCATATGAATGGCCTTCCTTTTCACAGCTTAACCTAGCAAACTTGCAACCCAATTCAGACAGCTCCAAAGTCTCAAAGCCCCAACCAGGGAGGAAAGGACTGTGGTTCTTGCTGTAACTCCTGCAAGGTGGCCTAAGACAGTAACTGACCTGTACTCCATTGGAGATCCAGAAGCCGGTGTACCTAGTGGTCAGTGTGAGACACCAGATTTCAACTCCTCACATCCATAAGTGACACATTTTGGAGGTGGACTCATTGAGCACCAAAGCCCCACTGAAACCAGGCCCTCACCATAAGCATGTCTCTAGCGCAGCAGTTCTTCCATTATAGACACAGCGGGTCCTCACAGCCAATTGGTCTGGAGGTCAATTCCTCCCTTTGTACCAATAGTAATCAAGGCTTAACTACACCAAGACTTTGCACTCAGCCCACAAAGGGTGTACCAAGAACGACCACATCAGATGAATGGGGAAGCTGAGCTACTGGCCTCTTTAGGTCACCTACCACACAAAGTCACTTAAACAACAAAAGGAAGTAGCCAAAATGCAGAAACTGCGGAAACACAGAAACATGTCACGGATGAAAGTAATGGAGGAAAGCAAACTACTGGACAACACAGAGTTCAAAACCACATTTATAAGGTTACTCAAGAACCTTCTAAAAACCGCTGAGAAACTTTAAGAGACCTTCAAGGAACTTAATGAGAATGCAAAAAAAAAAAAAAAAAAAAAAAAAAAAAAAAAAAAAAAAAAAAAAAGGAAAAGGACCAGTCAGAAATTAAGCATACACTGTCTGAAATAAAGAATATATAGAAACTCAACTATATATCAAAGTATCCCAAGAATCAAACCAAAGTTCTTGCATTTGAGGAAACAAAATACACCCAACTAGAAAAGTAACAACAAAAAAAGAATTCCAAAATATGAAGATAGTGTAAGGAGCCTCTCGGACAACTTTAAGCATACCAACATGCAACTTTTTGGGATGCCAGAAGAAGAGAGAGAGCAAAATGTTGAAAACTTATTAGAAGATAAAATGGCAGAAAACTTTCCCTCTCTGGAGAAAGAATTAGACTTACAAGTCCAGGAAGCACACAGAACCCCAAACAAAAGGAATTCAAAGAAGACCACACCAAGATACATTAATTA